GTAATGGTTTGGTAGGTCATGACATCACTGTTCTTCATCATGTCTGTGTGCAAGATATCTGTTCATTAATTTCCATCTGGCATCCCACAGGTCCCCTTGTTCGGTTTGCAGTTATTTCTTTATTAATCAGTTGACTTTGTGTTGCTGAGCACAAAATTGCTTTTAATTGGTTTTGGAATATGGTGGGTCTATTAGAAACAATTGAGGAAGGCAGCGGAAGTGTGTACATCGTTTATGTGCAATATTAGAAAGCACATATATTTATGTGTATTTTTACATGACTAATATAATGTAGGAGAACCACAAAATATTGGAAACATTGGTGAGGATAACATCTAGCAAAACGAGTTTTAGTTACGATTTCTGATGCGTAAGAGCTGTGTTTTTCTGATCAGTGTAACACAGACGTATTGTGGCAGCCACTGTGTCCACCTCTCAGTCAGGAGCAAATGTGTTCTCTCCCTGATGTTAGATCCAGGGCCGTGTGTTTTTACAGGCCCTTCAGCCTGTCAGAAAGCCTGCCTTAGTGCCATAATTCTGACTTAGACACGGCCTGATTCGTCTAGGCAGGGGTTCAGGCCTGTATCGCTGGTTGCCTGGAGTAAACAGAGAGAAATTTGGAGGATGTTTTTAGCGCGTGTTATGAAATATTATTTTTAATTTGAACAACTCCCTTTGTGCTGGTATGTGTGACTGCTGACCCAGAAACACAAGCAACGCTGAACCCTTCTCTTCTCAGACACGAGCAAGTTTCCTGCAAATTAACACTTCAAATGGCAGCTGTTTGGGAGAATGCTAGCTGTTTAAAGTTTTCTTTTTTGTAACCAACAGAAGATGATTCATATCTGAAATCTAAAAATTCTTTCCGAAATTACGTTGCCATAGAGCAAGAAATTGCATGTCCCTTTTATATTCCTTCACTGCAGCAAAAGATACTGCTAACTGATTTCACAAACTTTCAGCTGCTCTTGCTTTTAGCATATCCTTGCAGTTTGCTTTGGAGTGAGGTCTTACATCCCTGTTGTGACTTGTCTCGGCTACAACCAAATTCAGGTCTGTACTAAAAAATAATTCAGTATACCGTGGTTAAAATATTTGGAAGAAGTATTTGGCTTAGTCTTTAAAATCAAGCTCTTGACCACAAACTGTGTAGTTGTGTGTTCTACCTGTTGTTGTGAACTTTGGTCTCCATTTGAATTACACCATTACCCAAGGAATGGGAGCTACTTGTAACTTATAAATACTAAGATATTTCCTGGGAATTTTAATTTCTACTTATTGTATGTATGTTGTTGAAACCTTCAAATTGAGACCATTAAAAAAGATGTTAAATTTAGGCTCAGATGGCATCGCTTCTGAGTTTGTGTTGTAACCTAGATTTCCGATGCGATTGTTTAAATGGACCAGATTAAATATTGTAGTACAGTATACTAAATTATTCTTAGTATATATAAATGTTTCACATTTATTGTTCTTAAAGTTTTCAAATAGACTTGTTCATGTGGTAGTTTTATGTTATCTCAGTATTATTGACAATGTTTTTTGCAGAAATGATTGAGAAAGAACTGTCATATAAGGTACAGTTGTTATTAGAGTAATTAAAAAATATTGCAAAAATTTGTCTAGGAGACCTGGATTTTATTTGTATGTTGAGTAAAAATGCGACAAGTTCTGTTTCATGTAAAGAATCATTTTTAATGTAAAGAATTGACAAATTAATTGTATCTTGAAGAAGCCTGAAGAATATATACTTAAATATCTGGATATAAAGTATTGCAGTTTGATTGCTTTTAACAGTTGACCTTGATGCTTCAGCTGAAGGATCATCTCACACTGTTAATTTATTTTTAAACACATCTAAAAATGTTGAAGTAGCACACTAATGAATGAATAAATGAATTGCCTGCAGCTGTTGATGAGATTAATACAAAGAAAAATGGCAAATATATTTTCTTGCATGCAGGGTCTTTCCACTCTTCGAACCTGATCGGTGAATTTGATGCCTGTTCTGGTGATCAGTGTGCTTTCCATAGAAGTGGACCTGCAGGCTTTCCTGTGAGAATTGTCTGGGAATCTCCCTTAGGGTTTGCAACAGAGCTCGGTCTTCAGAATAATCCAAAAGATTTCACTCTGAAACTATGTGAAGACGTGCTTTCCCACTCAGCACTGCAGCCAAAACAATTTCGAAAGAAGACAGCAGGTGTGGTGGATTACATAGTAAATCTCAGCATCGAAGTGTGGTGGCTTCATAAACTCTTGGGCTGTGAGAGTCCAAATACTAGTGTTATTTATTTTATTTTTCTTGGCAAAACACTTCGGGAAAGTTCACACTTACTCGAAACACCTGACAATATATTTCAGATTCTTCTTGATTAGAGGATGAAATAAAACAAACCATATTGCTGGAATAGTGTCATACCAATGAAAATTTAAAAGCCGACATTAACAAATGGATACTTTTTTCTTACTTAATTGGTTTGTAATCATTTCTACATCTGCAAAATCTGTAATTTAAAACTTTAGTTTTGTTTAGATCTCCTTGACAATGTACAGCAGTGTTCTTAGATTTTCCATTTGGCTCACTGAGCATCAGCTGTTCAGTCATGCAAACCTGTATTTAATCTCCTGCAGTGATGTAAGAAAAAAATAAAGACATTGGAACTGCACGAGCTGCTTTTGTTCACATCAGACTGCGATATTGTTCACCTGGCACCCTCTACTGACCTAAGACAACTGTTTTTGTTCAGTATACACTGTTTTAACATAGCTGATGGGATACATACAGTAATTGGGAGACTATGCAATCCGTTTTACATTATAATGAATATTGACATTTTTTTAATGATTCACAATGACCTGTAATCATGTGCCTTTGCCCTCGACAGCAACACTTTTATTAAATAAATTGAAGGTTGTTAAGAAAGTGTTAAGAAGGCAGGAGGAAAGAGGTTACATCACCTGTATTTTGTTGTTGTTTTATGGTCTACTTCTTGCGCATTCTTTTGACATGAGTTTTGAGTGATTGCTCCTTCTCCTGTCTCATCCATGCTTGCTGATGAGATACGCAGTAGTATAGTATCTAGTATATTGGGGCTCTTTCTGTTACAAGCTTCTTGAAGAACATGGTTTATGTCTGTTCCTCACTTTTCCTTTGTGCCAAACAGTGCCAATAACGTAAGAAGCTGTTCAGTTCAAAATGCACAAAAATCTATGTGTCACATTGTTCTAACTTTTAATAAATGATTAGAGTCTATGTTATAGTACATAATCTAGTAACTGCAGTTTGTACCATATGTCATTATGTTTTCTTATTTTGAAAAGTACAGAAGCATGTTATATTCTAAATGGGGTTTTCATTTTTGTGACCCACAACATTGTGTTAAAGTGGTGCAATTTTGGTTTAACTTGTAGGACACTATAGATTTCTAGGTGTGACTCCATAAACACAAGGTTGGAAATTTGCTTGCAGTTTACTGGCAGGGAAAATACTTGTGATAATCTACTGCGAGTATATTGTAGTGAGAGAAATGTAAAAGCTGCCTGGATATTGCTCTTGAGATTAACATTCTCCTTAGACTACCCTGATATAGACTACTCCTGTATAGTTGTGTCAGATCTCGCAAGCTTATATAGGTTTACCGCGTGGAATAAAATATCAATTTTACAAGCATCTAACAAGTGTAACATACTGTAGCAGGGTGATGTCTGGTGGCTTTCTGCCAAGATGACTACAAAGGAATGTCCTACTCTGACAGGCTAAAACAGCTGAACGTTTCAGTCTTACATAGAGTAGGCTATGAGGGGACCCGATTCGAGTACTCAAAATCCTCAAAGGAATTAACAAACTCAACACAAGGGGTTCATTTCTCCTTCAGAATAAGCAGTGGGACCATGAACCAGAGGGCACAGGCGGAGATTAAAGAGAGGTATTTATAGCTATGAAAATGAGGTACTGTTTTGCTCAAAGGTTTGGGGGCAAGCCATTTGTGTTTCGGAACCAGATACTTCAGCTTCTTAAAAGAAAGTGAGATCTTCCGTTCAATTTTCTAATTCCAACCAAACAAACACTGTGGGTGAAGTGGCATCCCATTTGCGACCTTTCCTATTTTCTTGTGTTGTCTGGTACTCATGTTCATGTACAATTCAAGCTGTATTTCAGTGTTGGCTGATTTTCCTGGCTATACCTCAGAAGCGTGACTCCCACATAATCAAATGTCATAAACCCAGGAATCAGCTTCTTAGGTCTCAGGTCCAGCTACAGACATTGTACTTTCCTGTTGGGATTCAGTGGGTGACCTTCCATGACTTTCACAGCTCCTCTCGTCCAGGAGATTCTTGTCGATTTTCATGTGGGCTCCTTCAAGACTCCCTGAAAACCCATCTTGTTGCTGATGTTAAAGCTTTCCGGGAGCCATATTAGTCTCCTTTTCAGCATTACGAGCACCAGAAAAGTTTAATAGAAAACAGGATACAGTTTTGAAAGGTGAAAAACGTAACATGTCTGGTGGTAATGAATGTAAATTGTGTGTGAACTTATTTTATTATATATTGGTTTTATCCAAAAAAGTATCTGAACATGTTCTGCAGTACAGTGTTCTTCCAACTGAGGTATCACGGTACTGAGGCCGACCCACACATCATCCTCCTCATTCATTATTTTTTAAGTTTGTTAAAGCTGAGAATCCAGATTTGTGTAAATAAGTGGCAGTAATGGCCAGCTAGGAGCATAACTCTCGTTTTTCTGATTTTACCTTTAAAAACAAACGTGTTTTTAAATCGTCGATTTATTGACAATACATCGTTGAACAGGTCCTAACAATATAGAAAACAGGTTCATTTTAATATTTGTTAGATCTGCTGAGGGTCCCATTTTTAAGTATGAGACATGGCATTTTAATACAATTTCGGGGTCCGTCGAAAGCTGCGCAATTATGTACTCTATTAAGTGTGAGCTGACGCTGGATGCCTTCCTGACGCCATGGAATTTTCTTTAATTACAGAGAACAGCAGTCGCCAAGACTCCCAGCTCTCCTGCATATAGCAGATGGTCCAGTTCACAGCAGCATCAGGTAACCACAATTTGACAAGGTCATTTATCTATATTAAGCCATATTGAAAGTAATGCGTGTCAATTGCAAATGATAAGACGACTCAAGAAACAGTTTCAGCGGGGGAGTAGGAGAGTGATCAATCCTAATAATATTTTGCAAAAGTAGAAGTTAAAAACATCTCCCTTAAAGGACAGCTAGTGTTGTGTGGGATGTGTTTACCAAATGTATTGATTGCCTAAATGTTTTTTTAATACTTTTTATATTAGAGATAATTGGCATGTGTGTATTTTAAGTACTGTGCCACAAAAAGAGGTCACTTTGGGAAAATTTAAATAACACTCAGTTATTGAGTGGTTGAATTTTTCCTTGAAATCGCATGTGAAAATGATGCTGTGTTCTCTGAAAGTAATGTGAATATAACACAGTAAGAAATGAGGGGATGCACGGCAGCGGTCAGCTTTGTTGCTTCAGAGTTTTGGGCCTCTGGTTTCAATTCCAGACCTGGGGTGTTATTTTCTTGGCGTTTGTACGTTCACCCTGTGTTCATAGGGGCTTCCTCACACAACTCCAAGGTAAAAAACACCGGCCCTGGTGTGAGTATGTGCTTGAGTGGTGGTGTCTGAGTCTGCCCGAAGATGGGCTGCCCTCCTGTCCAGTGTGGATCCCACCTTGGGCCCAGTGTTTCCTAGGATAGGCTCTGACCCATTGCCACCCTCAATCGGATAAGTGGGTACTGATGTAGCACGACTTGGTAGGTCTGGTACTGGATGAAGCGTTGTTCCTAAGAGGTCGGTTTAACAGTGGAATAGTGTTGTCTTACACAGTCTGTTTTGAATAACTCAGGAGACGCTTGAGATAAGTTTCTAACCTGCTGCAATAAGTCAGAAGTGATTTTCTTTTGTGATTTGCCAGTTACATATCTGTTATTGGTCATCAGTATTCCCTGGATGGCAACATCTAGGTGTTCTGTACAATCTAGAGTGATCTCCTCGTGATGTCAGTGCACAAATGAAATCCATCAGCATCTCATCCTCATGGGTACGGACCTATTAAATAGCTATCAAGTCTGGTAACACACATTTCACCTAAGAGTTTTGAAATCTTCCTTGCTTAACTCTATGACTTCAGCACTCTGCATCTCCTTTCCAAACCATTTTCCTTGAATCCCTTTGTGCAGATTGATTGTGCATGCAGATTGTTATCTTTATGTTTAACACTCTAAATTAGTTAAAAAAATAATGGAAGGAAAGTGTGTGTTATATTATTATTCAGCACCGCAACATGCCTGCGAAAAAGTCTTTTGCAAGATGTCTTTCATAGTAATGTCGGTATATACAGTACTGTATATCTCTTTAATTATTGAAACATCTTGTCTTTAGAGGATTTGAATCAGCCCATTTTGCTGAATAGGTAAATGTTGTGTCAGCATAGTACCTACCTGATTGAACATTTGATAAAAAATGCCATTAGGTTTAGTTTATTTTTAGGTTTTGTTGCCTAAACCGCATATACTGTACACATTATTAATGTCTTAATAATTGGTATTGATTATTATTAATAAGAATTCGAATGTGGTATGGTTTTCTAGAGCTCTGCACTACAGAAACACGAAGCTTTGTGAAGAGTGAGGGTTACGTGGGTGGGAATCTTGGACAGATATTGGGGAGATGGGCCATGCTCAACCTTTCATGTAAGCACACCCGACTGGAAGCCAGCGTAAAACCTCCAACACAGGGATGCAATCATTTGTGTGCGACCCAGTTAGGCTCCCAGCTGAAAACTCCCACAAGTGCAGTGTTACAAAACTCCAGACAAAAGTTGTTGAAACGGAAACATATAAATCAGTTTTTATGGCAGAGATACAGACAATATAGAAAACATATTGGTCATATTTCTGAAAACTAAACATATACTGTACAGGAGATTCAAAAGTCAATCTGTGATCCATGAACAAGCCCGATGCTTTTCATTTTTGATCAAAACTCAAGCACAGTGCTGTAATTTGACAAGTTTACAACATGGTACAATCCTATAATGTGACCTCTGGCTTATCACTACTATAATGCAAACGGTTGTGTGGCGTCTGAGCTTTTATATCAGAAATGCAATCAGAGAGATCTGAAACTGCTACCTTGGTGTCAGGTTTAGTGTGGACCTAGATTTATCATCTGCATAGAAATGGTCATTCAGACCTTGTAATTTTAGTGTTTGACCAAGGGGAAATAGACCAGTACTGCGGCAGGTTCAAAAGCTGCTGGTGCCATGCCAAAGCTCACAGAGTCATTTATAATGTCAAACACCAAGAGGGCGAAGGGCAGAGAAACAGACTTGAATGTCCAGTTTCCATGTTTTACCTGTGTGACTTAGTCCCACAAACACTGAATTCCCCCTGTCTCATTGTATTTCTCTACAAGTATTGTATTTTGCTATTAGTGTAGTGTATTAGTGTTAGTGTAAGAGCCAGGAAATGTCAATACAATGTTTGTGTTTAGTTCTATGTCAAAATATTTCCTGGTCATGCCCTCTCCAGCCCCTCAGTTTCAGTCAGGGTCATCCCACCATTCCCTGGAAGAGGAGCCCAGTGAGAGATGGTTGTACTTTCCCTAAATTATTATTATTATTATTTCTTTTTAACATCAGAAAATGCAGCTTGTGGCAGCTATGTTTAAATTCTAAAAAAAACATTTCACAATCTTCAGAACAATACAGTATTTGAACTCTTACTGTTTATTTGAAAAGGAAAGAAAAACTGGTCCAAAGACATACTAGGTCTGCGTGCACTAATGAGCTCTAGGTTGGGTAAAAAGATGGCATTTCAAGATATGCTTCATGACACCGTCAGCCCTTGGCTTGTCTGAAATGCTAAATGTGATCACGGAAATGTGTTCCAGTTCACAGGTAGAACATTATTTTGGCTGCTGTACGAGAGTGGTGTCCTTGCTAAACAACAAATACTAGCAAGCTGAAACGTGCAATTTTTCTCTCTTGACAGCGGAGATGGAAGGGAAGAGGTTTTGTACAAACAAATTTCAGCTAGAGCATACAGTAACTGCTTCCAGGGCCCCCAGATGCAGTGTTAATAGGAGGCAGAAGTGTAGTATAGTCCTGATTGATCGTACGGCGAAACCTGCTGGGTCTGTTTAAACCCAGGACCCCAGCTGTAAAGCTGCAAGGCCCTCTCCTCGATTTGTTGCCCACATTCAAAAGCTCCTACAAAACAAGGGAGAAAAGGTCATTTAATTTATCTTGCTTCATCTGCCAGGAGGAGGCAGTATCTGCTCAGATTATAACTGTGTGCCACAGAAGGTTTGCTGAGTTCAGAGCGTAACCGTAACATTTTCCTTTGTCTCGCAGAACTAACCCACAAATGATTTATTTCAGGAGTGGTTTCCAATTAATCTCCATCTCCAACTGCTTTACAAAAATAGATTGATGTCTTCTGATCATTATCTTCTGCTGAGGATTATTTTGCCAGAGTAATTATGTTCACTCTCAGCCTAAAGTGATCACATTTTTGAACATCTTTTTATAACCGGTAATGCATTTTACATTGTATTGGAAACAGTAGACTGCTCATTACATTTTATTATATATACTGGAAATTTATTCTGAATACGAATAAATCGAAAGTCAGGTAGATATTTTTCTGCTCTAAGTATTTAATGTTTTAAATGAGCTGACAATGCTGGAATTATCTTTTAGGTAATGCAAATTTAAAAGCCCAACATATCTTGATACCTTGTCAGTTTTTTTCCCATGTTCTCCCTGAAAGCCAGCCTTTCTGCTTAAAATGTGCCTTGAAGAAGTTTTCAGGGACCTCAGTAATGACCATTTTGTAAAACTACTGAATGCTCACACTGAACACTTCTAAGGGCAAGTAGTGTTACAGTAAATGTCAGCAAAACCTAAAGACAAGCAATGCATTATGTTGATGGCATGTATTCGGACCCGTGACATCAATATCTGGTGGAAGCACAATTGGCTGCAATTATAGCCACAAGTCTTTTTTGGTAGGTCGCAACCAATGTTGCACGCAGGTTTGATGCACTTCTGGCCTTTCCTCTTGACGGATTTGTTCAGGCTCTTTCAAGGTGCTTCATGTTGCTTGGGGATCGATGTAGGGACTGATGGTTTCAAACCTTTCTGCAGATTCTCGGTCGGATTCAAGTCGGAAGCGGGTTTTTCTCTTAAGATTTGCTCCATCTATGTTCCCATGAGTCTTGACAAGTTTCCTCGCCCCCCCCCATTGAGAGAGCTATAACACCACGCTTGACAGCAGGGATGGTAAGATGTGCTGTGCCACATGTAAGACTGTTTTTTGGCATGTTTGCAGTATCACTTGGTTCCCACCTGGGACTTGTTTTTTCTTCAGTTCCGTACAAGTCCCCTTCTTGGAGTGACAGGGATATTGTTGACCCATGAACCAAGACGTCACTGAAAGACATTTTCTCCCATTCGAAGTGTTTTTCTACCCTTCTCCGTGAATGTTCCTTTATACAACTTCATGCCTGAGTTGTATTGAAAGCTTCTTGGTCTTCACAGTTCCATCGTAGTTGAAGTAGTGCTCGAAATTCACTACTTTCTATAAAAAATGAACAGTAAAGAAACTGCCAGAAGAAGGTGTATTCATTCTGAAATCATGTGAGTCACTTGATTAATCGTGTAGTTCATTAAGGTGATTTTGTGTGCCTTAATTAGTTTGAATACCTATGCAATCATGGCTTATGCATTTTTCATGTTTAATTCTTTCTTTTGTCTTTTGTTTTGAATGCGTGGATTATGTTGTATAATGTATGTAAGCACTTCAAAGTGTCATGACTGCAGACTTTTCAGCAACAAAATATGAAAGCTAGGCAAGGGTTTGATAATTTTTTGCAGGCACTGGTTAATTAATAATTTTGAACTTCAGTTGAAATAATATCAGTTCTTTGTTTATCAAACAAATTGTGAGAAAGGTCCTAGAGAAACATTAAAGAAAACAAATAATTTAAAACTAAGTTAAATCCGGTCCACATACT